GAAGGGACGTACCCGACTTACTCAAACAGATAATTTGGGTACAAGTTTGGGGGATCGGGGGGTGGGCGGGAAGAGAGAATAAAAAAAATTGGCAAAGCAGTGAAGAGTAACTGCATAAAATCACAGTTTTCCCACAAAGAACACTATTAAGATTATATGACATGGTTGGTTGGAGAATTGTAAACAAAGGGCATTTATTCCATGAATGTGATATTAGGTGAACTTCCCAGCAATGAGAGAATTCACTCTGGTTAATTACTACTTAATGGTTCATTTACTCAACAGAAATCATTTCAGGTGTGTGATTTATCCATTGAATAGAAGGTTTTCACTTACATAGATTACCATAGTCCTTTCACCAAAAGGAAAAAAAAAAGGGCAGATTGTAAAGGTTTAACTTGAAGTCAGTTTTGAAACGGAGGGTGACCTTTAAATTTTACACATTCTCCTCCAGTTTCAATCTTATTACTTATCCTTAGTTTGTACATAGGTCTTTTTAAAAAATTTACTTAAGAATGCACAACGAAGCTTGGCTGAGCAGCCAGAAGATTGGGAGTTTTGGAACAGCTGCACCCAAGGGAAAAAAATGCGCAACTGTCAGCTCTGTCCCCTTTAATATATTGTATAAACATTGTGCAATTGACAAAAAAAAAGTGTTCTCATACTTGCAGTTTCTGCTACTGGTACTCAAGAGTCTGTATTATCAACATTGAGCTGTAATAAAAGCAATTTTTATGAATCACTTAAAAATCTTCTCTCTAACATCCTATAATCAGATTAGGGTTCACTTGGTTCTATACACAATTGTAGTGGGTAAATGAGCATGGAAGCACCACCGCATAAATGGAGGGTATAGTTAAGATGTTTTGGACTTTGCTTTTGAAAGGCAATCTCAAGAAACTCGTGCAATCTAGAGATGTAGTGAACTATGAGTCCTTGAACAGTTTGCTCCTCTCCACGAAAACTGCACAGGACCAGATCATGCCCATCTCCGTAATAGAGTTGTCCAGGTCAGCAGTGCAGGATGCAAGGTGCAGACTTACAACCCAAATCAACTAGTACTCTTAAATCTCCACTAAGCAAAAATTAGGGAATTGGAGAATGGGATACTGAAGCCTGGAATTGGCTTCCAGCCATCATTTTCACACATCTATGGCATCTCCCCAACTCCATGAAAACCCAGCCCACAACAAGACTTAATAAAATGAGCACCTCAAAAGTGTTTACAGCCACATTCAGTCATAATGGTTAGAGCAGAATACATCCAGCTTTTCAGACAAATTCCTGAATTGGGGTTTGAATTTATTTCTGGAAGGTAAAAGGCCAGAAGTGGAAAAATTAAGACTTTTTCCCAGAAAAGAAATAAAAGAGAGAGGATCATAGTGCACTGGACTGAAGAATTAATCAAAAGATTAAAGAAATATGATCTAAAATTTAGGAGATTAAGTGAAGACTCTTCCTTGCAAACATTATAATTTACCGAGTTACATCTTTAGTGTCACTCAATGCATTCACTAAAAAAATTACTTCCTAAGGCTGGTTTGATGAGGCTAAATATTAAGTCTGCATCCAAACTAGATCATGCATTTCAACACATTATAAAGGATACATCTTCTATTACACTAGGCTAGATCACTTTAAAAGGTGTTTATTGGTCATATACAAAATAAAGTAAGCTGTATCTCAACAAACATACAGTATATACAGAAATAAATTAATGCTGTGTCCAATGGAAACGGATAATTAATTTTCATGGTGGTTATGAATACATACTTATCTACAGATCATAAAGTACAATAATTTAGGCAATAAATACTTATTAAATGGACTCTTTATACAAAGTACAACAGTGATTCATTACACCCTTTGAGCCAGAATTTTAATACAGAGCATTTGTCATCAAAATAGCTTTACCCCTTGAATTCATCTAATACTGCACAAATTTCACATCACTAAATTGGTTGAATGCTGAACCTCTCAACATTTCAATCCTCAATAGTGTGATTACAACGCTTCTGGGAAGTGAAGAGCAATGACCTTTTCCTTACACTTCAAAAGAAACAGATTGAGATCTGTTAAGCACCCAGGCTAACATCCCATTACTTTGTACTGATGGCATACAACATTTTTATTTTACAGTAAAGAGCATGGAAAATCTTTCAAATTATAATGGGCTCCAAATATCAGACAGATTGCAAGGAGGGGCAGTAAATTTATACAAGTTCAATCCAGCACCCAGCTTTGCATAAAACTGTAAAGAAATGTATTAGTCAAATCTGATACAAGGTTTTGTAAATACAGTGATATACCAATTAGCTGCATCAGAAGCAGCAATTGTCGAAAACTAAGATAATGCAGGTAGACTCCAATGCCAACATAATCTATAACAGCAGTTTTCTCACATACATATTCATTTTCCGGTTGATCTCCAGAAACAGGTTCTCACTTCAAGTGATCCAAAAAAAAAAAAAAGGACTGGCACTTGCCTGGCTTCCATATTACAACTTCTTTACTGGTTCCTTGTATTTAACTTCCCAGTGACATGCAATCACCCAGTAATGCTCTTGCCAATAATGGGGGCAGTAATGCTTCTGAAAGTTTGCCAGCGTCTGGTCAAAGGTCTGTAATAAAGGTAAAGCTGGATGCAGCACTCTGGCAACAGTAAAACAGTGAAACAGAATACCTGCCCAACTGACTTCAAAACAGGTGAGCACTGCTCTGAAGCAAAACAGGGTTTATATATCCTGGATTAAAATTTGATCTACAATAAAACGCAGCCAAAAGCCAAGTGAAAATATTTCACTTTATCCAGTAGCATACTCCACTTTAGCTTAACTTTGACTTGTAAGCAAAGAACAGCATGATTTAAGGTTTGCCTGTGAAGTTGGAAAACTGAAAACTAGTAATCAGCTAGGCAGGTGTGAAAGTGTCATCAGGCTAGAGGCGAGCATCCAATCAAATAGGCAGCATGGTTTCTGAATTCTGATCATTTTGAGTCTCATTTAGTCATTGTACATAATAAGAAGCTATTTCTCACTATGTCCAAAATATGTTTCATGTGGGCTTTGAGCCTAAGGGTTCAAATACAATAGCAATATCCATTTTGTTATTTGTGTTATTAGATGAACACGACCATTAGCATGTATAACTCCAAGCTATAACTTTGAACACAAAGACAGACAGACAGACACGCGCACGCGCACACACACACACACACACACACACACCAAAAAAATTATTTAGCCCTTATATCAACACATTATTTGCACAATAAGTAATCACCCTTGCTATCAGTCGGGCACTATTCCAGCACTGTTGTCCTGGACACCAATTGCTGCTTGCATATTTGAAGAACCTCACTTGACAACAATTACCAAGCCGTACACATGTACGCCACACACCTCACATACAAAGCACTTGCTAAAACAAGCACTTAGACTGTTCACAAAATAAACATCACAGGCAGACAGCATTAAAATAGAGAAAAATAAATCACCATAGAGCCAAAATGGGAATCAGAACAAGGCTTCAGTTACTTCTCATACTTGTGATGTTCAAGGGGCGGAGGGGATTTTTCTTTCCCCCCCACTTACTCGCTAGATATTGATCAGTTTGGATGCACAACGCCTTCTTTGAAAAGATCTTGACAAAAGAAAAAAAAGTTATTTTTCTTTAACTTTATTGGCATTCAAACCCTGTATCTCAGGTACCCCTTTCTCCTGATGATCAGGATAGATATATTGCCTCGGTTTAACAAATGTGGAGTTGATGCCTTGTAAACACCTTGCTGTGAAATAAATCAACAGCTCTCAAACTCTACTTCTAGTGCAATTTCCTTTTCTCTGAAATAAAACTTCTGTTTCAAATATCATTAAACACTATGTTGGTGCAGAATTACTGTTTGAGTCCTGTTCGCCACTTAATTTTTAAAAAACATTTTTAGACTATTGCTGAAATAGTATGTTTCCCATTAGAAACGATTTTCTCTTGGAACCAACTTTTGCTGCTATTGTGTAGTTAAACATTATGGTTTAAAAAAATCTAACTCTTAAAATGGATTTGAAACAAGCTTTCAAAATTTAAAATCAAATGGAGTATTTACAACCATGGATAAACACATCCTAAGTGGCGTTATTGAGGGGGAGGGCTGGAATCATTTGGTCTACAAATTCAATTACATCAAATTTGATATTTGTCTCAATTCAACTTTTAAAACATTACCCTGTGATTCAACAATTGGCATGTTTTAAGAATGGAAGTCAGGTTTTAAAAAAAAAAGCCTTCCAGAATCAGCTATTTTCATCACAGCATCAGCTTAGTGTTAAAAGCAATTAAAACCAAGTATCTCATTTGATACCTGTCTGTATAATTCCACATTCAACAATATGCTCATTGCTAGAAGACGACACTCAAATTTCAAGATTTCTAGCAATGAGCTGCTGTGTCCTCATGATTACTTGATCACAACACAGCTTATGCATTATTAAAAACATCTACACATTGCATTAAAGCTGGCCAAAGGCAGGCATGGTGTCAGCACCAGACACTCAACATCTCAAACTGGCATCTGCACAGTATGTTCTAAATGTGGACATATTTTGTAACTATATTGTGCAGCCTTATAAACTCAGTTCAGCAGTTTAAAAACTAATACATAGTTACATATTCTGATTCAAAAGGTCCTCCATAAATCTTAGGATTTGTACAAATCAATAGATTGTAGTGGGACACGTTACAAATCCTTTTTGTTTTAAAACTGGGTTGATTGGGATTATATCCAGGAATTTTTGGTAATGATGCTCAGCAGGCAGTTGAGTAGATCGAAGCCAGGTTATGTTGAGATGCCGAGGGTGTTTTGCACAGCCCTTTATGCACAGATTGAAATTGTTTCTGACAATAAAAATAAGTTTCTTCTTACTGAAAAGAATTGTGTAGAACACCATCTTCTACAAGTATTATATCACAATTAGATAGAGGTGTGCGAGAAACAAAGTCATGTATGCAGTTTAGCCAAATAGATTTGTATTTCAGACCAAACATGGGTTAACAGTGAACAATCAGCAACTCCAATAACAGCTCAACAATTGAACAGCACCTTCAATTACACATTTAACATAAAATTACATTAGACATTGAATATATTTTGCGTTTCCAAATCTTTGTAATATATATTCTACTTCAATACAACTAAAGAACAAATCCCTTAGTTTGTGTTGGCAGGAAATGTGTACAAATTAATACAAAGTTCAGAAGATACCAGGGGACCTTGGAGATGACGATGGTACACAAGCCAACAAAAGTTCAAGGAATTCAATGTTCATCCCCCGTATTAAAAAAAAAACTGCAGCGCGGATACAGGTCTCAAACAGTTAACATTAGATGCTGTGCAATAGTTTAGTATTCCTGGTTTGGTTAAGGCGGGCCAAAGGGTATTTCAGAAGAAGCTGCTGATCAAACTGAACTTGAGGTTCACACACCACCTTGAAGTTTGTTGCATTTTTAAAAAAAATTCACATGTGCAGCAAGTGTGAAAGAGGAAATACACAAAAAAATTCACACAACATAAAACCCCATTGTGTTCACACACAAATAAATACAGAATGAAACAACTGTAAAATAACACTAAACTGCATATTAACACATCACAGATACATCACCCCGGATCCACTTAACACGCTGATTCACTAGAAAGCTATTGATTTCAATAAGCCACTCTAGAAACATCTGTAAAAGCTATTAAACATTTTTTTGTGATTTTTTATATATAAATATTGTATGATAATCTGTGTACTTATAAAAATTAAACTCGAATACCCTTACATGTTGACAAAGATACTTTGTATACATACACTAAAGAGGAACTTTTACTATCAAAGATTCTCTGAATAAATTTTCATTCATATGGTTAATCAGCCCCTTCTACTCACACTTGCTTTAAGAAGCAATATCAAATATCTGTAAAGGTTTAATACAGTCATTTCAATTTTTTGTTTGGCTGAGGAGAGAAAACGGGGAGTGACCGGTGGAATAGCAGCTAGTTCTAGTCAGCAGGAACAAAATAAAATAAAATCAGCCAACTCTCAATTTCTGACATATGAAAGTCAAAGAGGATTTAACCTTTTCAGCAAAAGAAAACGTACAGGCTAACAACATTTGCTGAAATAGTGTTCACTCTTCTGGTGCTTATATCATACTTTTACCACTTAATTATCAATGGAAATCTAAACATTCTCCACAACATCCACAGTATTATACAACTGTTGAATTCATACATTTAACACCATATTGTGGAAAAGATTTCATTAAATCTGTAAACTTTAAACACCAGACTTCTGAGTTCTACCTGTAAATTATTCAACATTTATACATGACATAATGAATAAACTATAAATAGAAGATTCAGAGAAAGAGATAGGATCACCATAAGCCATTTATCTCAAAGAATCCAAAGCCATCAAGAATTGAGCTTTGTTATGAAGACTGCACATTTCAAATAATCAAAAGCTTATTATACAGTCAGACTGACACTCCACTGCCTTCACTGGCTAGTGACAAGCAGATGGCAGGGTTTCTGTAACAGCTTATATAGTGTTACAAAGGGTGCTATTAATTCTGCCTCCTCTCATCTCTGCATGTTTTTAAATGTTGCGCATTGTCTTCCAATGATTAATTTTTTTTTAAAAAATGTACAAATTAAAATCAACATTTCTAATTTGTGCTATAAATTTTTCAAGAAAGACCCAGTAGTATATGAATAGAAAGGAATACTTAACCATATGAACAGGTCATTTGAACTACCTTACTCCATGGTGATACGGTACACCGTGTTCAGATGTGCATGAATATGAGAAGCTGTTCACTGGTCAATGCACAAAGTTAGCCACAAGGTTTAAATCAGAAATAAAACCTTCCAATTTAAAAAAAAACTGTACCGACAGTAACTTGGATTTGCTTAAACATGTCACGATGTCTCCATCCAAAATGTAGATTTTTATTTTTGATGAAACTTAAGCAAACATTGCAAAGAGGAAAAAAAAGAATCAACAGGCTTGCCCTTTAATGGCAGCTGTAGAGCTACCATGGTTTGGTCTGTTTGAAATGCTGTCAAGTGGCAAGATCTTCCAAATTAATGAAGGCCTCCCTTTTATTCACTGTGGTTATGTTAGGAACTCAGTAAGAATTTTGGTGTTGAAATAAATGAGTGACTTCCTTTTCATTTTGGGTTTCACTCAGTTCAGTTAAGACTGCAAGAGGTCTACAGGAATTGTCCTAGAGATGGACAAAATTGAAAGCCTGAACATTACAGAAACCAAACACGAGTTTGGTTTCAATGATAGAATGAGGTTGATCTTGTAACAAGTGCTTTGCTAATTCACCAACTTGCCACACAGCCTGGTGATCGTGTGGAAAAACTTGCTTTTTTTCTGGTGGGGTGTGGGATGGTGGCTAACGAGTTTTTTTTTCAACCATTGTATTTAACTCCATGAATTGACCAGTTTTACTACGAACTAGTTTGTCTCTGGCCTGTGTCTACAGCAGTATGTACTAAGATCTTGCATCGGTTTTGGATTTGACTATTGTGATGACACTGGTGGTAGCCACTTTGCCTGGCATAATGGGCCCAATGGCAGAGGTGATAGGACCTCTAACCGGCATGACAGGTCCTCTGGCTACGGTCCTGGCGAAGCTCTGCAAGGCCTCATACTTGGATCGCAGGGCATCCAGCTCTAACTTCATGCTGGCATTCTCAGATGCCAGCTTCTCTACCTCTTGCTGAAGTTCTGCTTTCTGCTTCTCCAATTCCTCCTTCTGAGTTACCCTCTTTACACGGCAGCTGGCTGCGTAGCCACGGTTCTTGAGTGTTCTGCGACGCTGCTTCAGCCGGATAATGTCTTCTTTAGTTAGGCCCCGCAGATGTTGGTTCAATTCTCGAACGGACATAGAGACAAGCTCCTGATCTGTGAGACTGGCTCCATTTTCACCTGGCTCCCGCTTCACCTGTGGGATAAAGGCCAGGGAAAGAAAAGGAAAGCTTTCAAAACGAGGCACCAACTTAAAGACAACATTTAGAAATTGAGTCATTGGACAGATTTCCATTTGACTGATTTAATTATGAATGCTTTTCAGTTTGTAGCAAACCTTTGTACAAGCACAATGTACGTTACCCAACACTGGTAGAGGCTTCCAATGGAAATAGCTCGATCAATGACAACCACATGCATATATTCGCTTACAATTTACTATAAATATAGCAAACTGGGATAGAATTAACAGCTTCAATAAAGGTTATGAAAACACTTCTACAAAGTGAGGCTTGATTCTTTGACACGACAAACATACCTGTATTCCATAATTACAAACATATAAATTATACGCTGAGCCCGGAAACATTTATTTCCGACAACAATTTGATGCACAAAAATATGGCTGTTATAACTGACTCACCTATCTTACCTGCACTGAAATAAATGATCGTTTCAGGAGAAATGCTGAAAATATTGGAACACATCAACTTATTTAGTGCTGAGACACAAAAGGCACTAATAGCAGTTAGGAAATGGAGGTGGGGGGGCAAGAGGGAAATCAACCTCTCTTGAAATATAGACAGGAAATGAAAAGCTACTAAAATGGACTGTGAAAATGGTACAAGTGGAAACGCATGAGAGAAGAAGCAGAAAGGATGGTCGTAAGGCAAAGGAAAAAGGAGGGAGAAGCTTGCTGGACTTAATCTTATACAGTTAATTTGCAGGGAACAAAGTTCACACCGATAACGACATGCCAGAAATTCCTAACTCTAAGATTTTAAAGTTATATGATCTCATTTGATATCTAGAAAGCTAGTACTTCTATCCTGTAATAATTTCATTGGAATTTCTGAAAAATCTGACTTGCACATAAAATCAGTATTGTACATTCAGTGTGAAGTGTGGAACAATTTGGGGCTTAGTCATGGTTAGATCTGAAATATCGTTGCTACGAAGTTGGAAAATTGCAGCCACCACAGTATTTTTTGATTCAATCAGATCACTATTTGCGTAGTTTCGTCATTGCAATTGACTTACTATTTTGACAGATTATTAAATGTCTGGGTGATAATTAATTTTTCAGACAAGTTACTTTAGAACTTTCTTAATACAAATAACTGTTCATTAATTGGAATTATTTGTTGCTGGATGGCAACGAGTGAAAGAAACTGCAGAGCTTCCTGTGGGTTTTAAACAAAAAATGAAGACTTATTAGTCTTAAAATTATTAATAAAGGCAGGCCCTTGGTAAATGCCCAGAAAAACATTTTGGATAGCAATGCACAGCAGCAGTCCTTTCATGTGCTAAGAGGAAGCATTATATTCACAATTAGCACCAATTGGCACTAAATCCATTTTCAGAGTTAACTACAATAGTTTCTAGTTTTCCTCATGTAAAATTCAAATATCAGTGCAGAAGCAATACCCAGTGGTATATTTAATTCTAATTTAACTAAGTATTCATTAAAAAAAGTGCAAAAAACTGTAAGAGACTTCAGGTGGCTCAAACAGGCTACTAAGTGGATATCAAATGAAAGTGTACATCATGAAAGAATAAATAAATATTTATATACATAGTGACAACTTAAAAGCAGTAGAGGAATGGAGAATTAAGAGTTCAGATATGCATCTCTTTTCAAGTGGCAGACAAGATGACAAATCTGTTTTTAAAAAAAAAACACAATGGGTTATAAATTTTAGGAGCAGAGAAATGAAGTGCAATAGCAACAAGGTAATGCTGAACCAATGCAAGTAAGTGCTTAAGCAGCAGTTACAATCTCATCAGCTTTTGGACGCCCAACTTTAATGAATGATCCGATTGAAAATTTTGCCGTGGGAAATAATATTTCTGCTGATTGGCATGTCAATAACAAAGGCCACAAACTTCAGATAATCACCAAATAAAAGATAAAAGTTGGGAATATATGGCATGTCCTTCCAGGAAAGGTGACAGAAGCAGAACCTATTAATATTTAAAATTAAAAAGAAATATTACTTGCTTTCAAGAAAAAAAAACACTTTAGAAAGGGCACAAGGAAAGGGGCTAATTGATCATCTCTTCCTAATGGTGGAAGAATGGAACAAACGATCTATACTGAAAAATGAGATAAAGTCATTAAAAGGCAAAATATTCAAAGTATATTAAAATGACATTTAGAGTTCTAAGCATATTAGTTTTGTCAAGAGACAGATTACACACAATAGGATAATCATTTGACAATCAGTAAAAGCAAACTTTATCTTCTAAAAGACAGAGAAAAAAGAACATGAAGTGTCATGTTGTGTTAACTACAGGGTGATGGCTCTAAAGACCTTTACATGCAAATACACCAATGTTATCCACATGACCACAGGCTCTCTTCACTGTGGCATTCAAGACACAGCCTGTGTCTGGAGGTCACTCTATACAATTTACGTCAGTTGAGCCGTATATAAAACCACCATCTCCAAGTAAACAGAATCCACGTACCTCATTTGTGTTACATTTTAGATAGCATAAAAGATTATAATAGCTAGTTAAAGCTCAATGTGTAACAACTCTACATGTGGTAATTTCAGAAGTGACAAAAAATCCCCACTGAAATATGCCACTGAATAACAGAAAAGAAATTACATCAATTCTTATTTCATTTCCCTTTTAGCAGCCTCCTCACATGAAAGTGAATAACTGGGGAAAAAATATACTTAATGTTTAGTTCTTAGGGTAAGATCCCATAAGTAATGGAGTAGTCCAACTAGTTGCAGCTTGCCCTATTTTATGGAGTATTTTTGGATCTGATGCTATTAGGCAAATGTGGAAATATCAAAACAAGAAATATTTTTTCACACTTTTTAGATGATAAACTAAATATTTAGCATTTCCCCTCTTATTTACAAGAGTACCGCAACCAGATATGTACTTCACATTTTTCTTCATGAAACATTATTTATTCATTGTCGTTAACTTTATTAAGGAGGTGGTTTAAGCAGGATTTTGTTTTTGTGATCTTCAGAAAGAGAAATTTGACTTTACATAAGAGTTTGTAATGAATTTCCGAATAATCTCTTCCAGCAGTATTTTTTTTTTAAAAATCCATTTCACATTCTAGACGAGTCTAACAAAATCTGTGAGGGACTAGTGGCATGAACACTTTAACATGTGATTAAAATGGAGAGATTTTGATGCTGGCAGAGCACAAGTTTGTTTTAATATTTAGATGAATGGAACTATTGGAAGACAGTGGGCAGACATTAAGACATCAATGAGAAAAAGCACTAGATAGCTCTGATCTCCATCAATAGAAGAGAAGCAGTGGCATTAAAAGACTATATACACCATGTAATTGACATATTTACATAGCTCACTTAAACCCTCTACAGACAGCAACATGCATTGCAGTGATGCATATTACTTTTGTCACATGCAGGTCTTTTCTACTTGAAATAAAACCCCAACATAGGTAAGGTAACCACAAGATGTAGTAACCAGTGACAAAAAGCCAAAGCTTTATAGATAATTTATGGCACAGCAAATGGTAATAGTCGTGCCTACCTAAAAACAAAATTGGTGGGATCCCAATACTGTATTGTGTTCTATCCATTTGTTTAAAAATGGGAAAACAAAAGGTCATGGATTTGCACATAGTACTCCTATCCCCAAGTCAAAAGTTCTTAGTTCAAATCCTATTCCTGGACTTGCCACCTACAGAAAAAGTATTTGAGACACAGCCATACAGGTTACTGACCAACCCGCTGACCCTTTCAACTCAGCCAGAGAGATTTCTGGTGCTTGGAGGGTGGTGCCCACAAAGTACAATTACCTATCTCTCTTACGGTTCTTCATGGACCATGGGTAATAATCGTTAGACAAAGCATGCCACCACTAGCATATCTCGGGCAAAAATAAAACTGTGCATTCTTATAAGAGAACTTTCATTACATTAGCCAAAGGAAAAAAATGGATTCCAAGTAGAAATAACAAGGCAACAGACAGCATAATGTTAAACAAAAACATAAAACATTTGGAGTTCTCTACTCCAGAGAATCTTGAAAGCTCCATTGTTCAATCGACTCAAGTCCAAGATGACAAATCACTGGTCTTATGGGGTTAAGGTGAGAAAAGAGAGTTCATAAAGAAGATTATAACCAATCATACTGAATAACGTGATGCCAAATGAACTACTTCTATTTACTTTTTAATAGATTTATGTTTTTATACATTTAGTAGAAATGAGGGAGCTGTTTTCCTGCAATTTTAAGTGCTTGTGTCTATTTTTTTCCCCCAAGAGGCAGTTACACACGTGGAGCACAAACCAAACTGTGGAAATATTCTGACTTTCCCTACTGTGAATTACAGCGTAAACAGGACAGCTCCAAATGAGTCCGTCTGGTACACGAAGCAAATATGCTGGAGCAGCTCCAGGAATCAGTCTAAAAATAGGGTTTAGGATTTTCCCCAAGAGTTGTACGTCAACTTACCAAAACAGGTTTCTCATTGTTTACGCGGCTTCGAGTTATGCATTTTTGTAGGAAAATATTGAGTAATTTTTGAATTAGTTACAGCAAGAGGAACAGTGAATGACTGCTCAGAGTAATTATAGTGAAGAGAAACCTTTGTTCTTACTCTGTTGAAACTTTATCATTTGTCTTTGGAGGGCTGGTCCCAAGTGTACTCCACTTCCAAGATTGCTACTACCAGAGGGACCTTAATTGTTAAAATTAGATTTTTTTGTGAGTAATGCGCTCATCAACACAAAGGATTAGTGCCAGGAAATAGAAGTGTTCCAGGCCAGTCACCTAATGTAAGAATTCAGTCTCTGGTCATGTCAGGTCCAGCAAGGTCCCCTCTATCCACCTCCATTATTTGCTATTTTCCACATTTACCACACCAGTCAACCTTTCCACGGAATTGTAAATTTATTGCAATTCAAACTGAATTCAAGGCAGTTTCTTTGCAAGTGGATAGAGCTTGGGCAAAACGTACAGGCTTGAGACAGAGGTGGCTTTCAAACCCTCATGTGGGCAACATTTTCACCAGCTTTGTAAACTGGATTGTTTATGGAAAAAAAATCTTTGAATTGTATATTCCAATTACACCAAAAAGCAAAGTGTTTGCCATTCATTCACTCACAGATAGACATTTTAATACATTTTGAACTTCTCAGAGGCCCACCATTTCCACAGCTTCATTCTCCTCCCCAGTTGCTCCAAGAGTGTAGGATACAATCTTCTCCTGCACATGCTCCAGAAGGCTACTACTTTCAACACAAGTCATTCCTTGAGACAATGCTACAACTGCCAGAACAACAGCCCCTCAAGGTTACGCTGCCATTTGATTAGACATGGAGTATCAGCACTTCAATCCCATGTTTCGGGATAGTTTCTCTGCAGTTATCAGTTGGCACTTGTACCTATCAAAAAAATCAATGTCAATTTTGCAAATTTAGCATTCAGAGCAATGAGAACAAGGAAAGATTTAAATTTTTCTCAAAACAAAAGAGCACAGCTTTATTGCTGAATCCAAGTGGCTTTGCTCTAATTTTATGATCCCCCTTGTTTTGGATTCCCCAGAGAAAGTAGTTCATCATTCACCTTACCATTCAAAAGGACTTCACTGCAATCACCAGTAGAAAAAAAGATTTAAAAGAAAACAACCTGGCTCTCAATTCATCCCTTCAATACCTGGTATCAGACTGCTCTGTCCCCTAGAAGGCTTGACTTCTTTTTGAAGTGCCCAAAGCTGAATGCAGTTCTGATGAAGAGTTACCAAACTCGAAACATTAACTCTGCTTTCTTCCCAGACCTGCTGAGTTTCTCCAGCAATTTGTGGGTGTTTCAGGTCTCTAGCGTCCGCAGTTCTTAGTTTTACTTCAAACCAAGTATCTGGATAAAACGCTGCATTACTGAAGCATCACTTGCTCACTTTTGAATTCCAACGATCTCCTTTTGGTTGCTTTTAGTATCTGCTCATAGGGTCATTCAAACCCATTTACTCCACTCCAGTTCACAGCCTCTCACTGCGCACAAAATATTCTGATCTGCCTTTCATGCCCCCAGAGGGAATGATCACATTCACCTCACTGAGCTCTGTCACTTTTGCCTACTCGATCAATCTGTTATGACCCTTTAGAACTTCCTTCTGCAAGATATTCCCTTAAATCCTACAAATGTGTGTGTATGTAAGTTTGGTTTAGTCTCACCTAATCAAAGTTGTTCTCTTTTCACAAGCATTTCACAAATCTGTAGCATTTGGAAATAATAAAATTTGGTTACGTTGTTTATTCCCACAGTTGCATCAGAATTTAAAGTGCCAGTACAGAATATACCTGACTCTTTTCTGCTGAGGTACATGGTAAGCTAATTTGTGCCAAGTACCAAACTTTGTCAATGCATTGTAAAACAATAGACTCGAGACAGCAAAAAGGATGATGGGACTAAAGATGATTAGTTAGATGGTTAACAGCAACCACATTAGCCACCTGGAGTTTGAGAGAAACTCTGACAATTTCTGGAGGTCTCATTCACAGCGTACAAGACTTACAGCAGTTCAATCATCACAAACACTATGGTTTGATGTGGTGAAATGCGTTTCAGTTCATGGATCACTGGCACTAGTAATGGGTTAGAAGGGAGTTGCTCCATTGGGGCAGGCTACATGCGAACCTCACTGGGACATGCTCGATGGAATAACTAGGGTTGTAATGAGGTTGTTAAGCTAATTAGGGTGGGAGGTGGGAAGGGAGGGGAAAAGGCACTTAGAGAGGGGGAATGAAGGCTTACAAAGTGGAAGAATATGGCAACATTACAGGGTAGCTATTTGTATAATGATACCCAGAGTAAGACATGAAGGGACAGAGTGCACAAGTATAGAAAAACAGCAGTAGACAGTAGGGTTAAAGTGGGGAAAATAGTAAAGAAAGGCAACATTAGTGGCCCTGAACTTAAATGCACATAGCATTTCGAACATTAAATTATTTATTTTGTATGTGACATTTTATAGCCATTACAGAGACATGGACAAGATCTTACAGGGTCCCAGTGTCTGAGCCCATGGCAGGAGGTGTAGCAGAATAAGGTGACAATTCCAGCAAGGCCCACCTCAATATCAAGATCATTTGTGCCCCACTTTATGCTTTTCACAAGCGACGTGGTGAGATTCACGCGAGACACAGGCAAGATACACACTTGCCAAGCACCTTTATTAACAAGGTGTGTTGTGGCATTAACATTCAGACTCCCAGCTAAAAAACCCGTCAAACAGCAGACACTGGAAAAATGCGACAAGCAAACTAGACAGAATACCTGACAGATCCTACTCGGCACCTGAATGATTTCCACGATGGTAACCGGATGCCAACATCTTATAGCATGCTCCATGGGCATTGCCACTGTACTCCACACCCATTGGTAACCCTCATGGCACATCTCTAAGCCACTTACATGACACTTCTGCAGTTCAATGCTGCACCAGAACGAGGACTGTAATACTGAAGCAAGGATACTCTGTACACAGACATGCACACAACTCATGGAATGGCTCAAGCTGCACTTCCAGGCTCTTCCATTGCTTTCACAGCACGTCAAGACGGATATTCTTTGCTCGAAGGACCCCTGCCACACAAGGTCAGCAGCAGCCTCTGATACCGGTCTAGACCCCACTCAGAGTCCGGGCTCTCTCCTTGTAAGGGGAGAGGAGCTGAATGACAGGCTGCGCACAACCTCGTGAGTCTTTCGTAAAAATCGTGGGCTGTTTCCTTCCTGGAATGAGAGGAAGGTGGATCATGGGAGATGATAGTGGGTGGCACAGCTGTTTCTTTGGGTGCAAGTGGAAAGTTGCCCTGAGCAAGTGAACAGGCTAGGCAGAGGGCATGCACGGATAGCGGTGCTAGAATTTAGGGTGAGTGTGTGTGTGAATGCAGCTAATAGTGAGGAGGGGGTGGGGGGAGGTGTGGTTAGAGAATGACCCTTAGTGGGAAGTAGGTGCAGTGGCAGAGAGAAGTGACAGACAGAAATTAACAGACCTTATCTGGCAGAGTAGAGAAGGATATTGCCCTTCTTTGTTTAGTCCTGGGCATTCCTCCAGATAGTTAAGTTTGTTCTAACCAAGGTGGCAACCTCTGACCAGGCCAGCACATCCACCACTCCATGTTCTGTGGGAAAAGGAAGTCCTGCCTCTTCAAAAGGACAGACAGAAAGGGCAAAAGTGTGACAGAGTAGCATTGCTAATATAACATGGAAGACGTAAGATAGCAAGAAATAATCTTGGATCAGAAGATGTAGAATGAGATGGGTGACGATAACAAATAAGAGGAAGACGACGCTGGTGGGAGTAGTCTATTAGGTCCTTAAAAATGGTAGGCAGAGAACAAATTCAGAGGTAATGAGGGCATGTAAAAAAAGGCAGTACCGTGGTGACAGTAATCTTCATATAGTTTTGGGATTGTCAAGTTGGCAGAGGTAGCTATGAGGCAGAATTTATAATGTTCACTTGGGGCAGGTTCCTCGCACTGTGTTGCGGATTCAGATTCAATCTGGAATCAGGCTATTTTGGATATGGTAATATACAACGAGGCAGGTTTAACAAATGATCTGATTGTAAAAGATTTCCTAGGAAACCACAACCATAAGATGGTAGAATTTAGCATTCAGTTTGAGGGGGAGAAATTTGGGTCATAAACAACTGTGGTAACCACGAATATGGCACACTACAAAGGAATGAGGACAGAATTACGTGGAGTGTACTGGGAAGAATTCTAGAAGGGATAATTGAGGAACAATGGCATTTGTTCAATAAGATTGTTAAGAGACATGAACTAAGATATATCCCATTGTAGGAAGAGGATTCTAAGAAGAGGAATAACCAAACATGGTTAAACAGGAAGTTAAGGATAGCATCAAATGGAAATAAAAAACATATTATATGGTAAAAATCAGTAGTGACCCAGAGGATTGCAAAACGTTTAAAAACCAAAAGGTGACTAAAACCT